CTCTCTACATTTCGGTGTAACTTTTAATTTTTTATTTATTTAGATTTTTGATACTAACAAAAGTGATTTATTTTTGCTGATGACTCCTCCACTGTTTCGTTTCCTTTTCGTGCTGTTCAAACAAGCTTCTTCCATTAAAAAACAAAAAGTACACTCGCACTCATCGTCTAATTGGCCGAGTCAAGGATGACGATAATTTTTCAGCCTGACATTTTGTCACCGCGAGAATTGCGCAATCACCCGCTTCTAGGTGGACGCAAGTAATAAATTCATAATAAAAACTTGAGTTATTTGTTCTCCCGGCGAGCTCGACACGTCTCTAACAGCTCATTAAATCAGGATGAAAATCGGCGTCAGACTGCAGCGTCGCCACTTATGCAACTGCGTGCACCGAGACAGCACGTTTTCATGCATATGTCTTTTTACATCGGCCACGTCCCGCACCTGCTGCTGTGCAACAAGTAAAAGTGATATTGTTTGTATATAACAATTTGTTATGATATGATAAACAGGACGGGCCAGGATATTTCAGAGAAAAATCCACGCATTCAAGTCTCCACAAGAATTTGACCTAACAAGGAAACCGCAACATTGCAAAACATAAACTTTTTTTAACTTTGAGAAATATTTTTCTAAATAAAATAAAAACCCTCGAATAAATCCAAACTTTTAATCCACACCAGGATTAAATAAATTTATTTAATCTTCAATTTTAAAAATTTGATTTTTGCTCTTTTGATGAAATATGATTTTAGTTTCTATTAGGTACTTGAAGTTGTTGTTGTGGAACCTTTAGGCACTCAAGGTGTTCATTTTTAATAAATTAAAAACCGGCTTTCTCAATGAAGATGAGCAAGTTAATTGTTTAGCCGACTTTTTGTATCATGCAGAAGCAATATTTGTATTTCATCTAAAAGTTTATAATGCTTTTCTGTTATAAAATTAAAATATAAAAATCGCTTTTTTTATCAACGAAACGTGAAAAATAATTCAGCAGCCTTAAGAGATCTATATTTCCGAGACAAAATAAATGGATAATGATTTGATAACCTTTTCTAAAATCAAGAACCACGGGGCAGATGCATCGCGCAGAGAGTTCCGTTATCGGATTCACTTTTGCGGTTCCCATATAAATTACCTGCCAGCAATTATCGCAGTTGCCTCCGGCTACGAAATAATAAGGATCGGTTGTTGCAAAAAGAAGCTGCCCGCTGTCAAAACAGAGAGAAGATGCTTTCGATGGCACGAGTGGCAAATTGCTGGTGCTGCCGGGACCATTATCGTCAGTTGCATACTTTCTCCCAACAAAAGCACCGCGCGGCTGATCGCCTTTATCCTTTTTTTTCTCGTCCCTTATACGCATGGCCAGAGAGGGAATTTTGTCAAATTATTTTAAAATGCTCTCACTCGACGACCTTTTATGGACGAAATTGCGCGGCCTGGAAAAAGTTGGCAAAGTGAGAAAGAAAGAGAGAGAGATGCGCGCATGGGAATGCAAAATGCAGCCACTTTTGTGTTCCGAGACATGATTTGAGATGATGACTCTTCTCAAATGCTGGAATAGTCTGCGCCATCATGTTCGTTTCACAAAAATAATATCTTATTTATAAAGTACGCGGAAATATGATCATTTATGATAACGAAATTGCAATTTATGAAAGTTCTACACGTGGTGTCAACATGGAAAGTTTTAATTTTAATAAGTATTAATCATCAGCAAAAATTTAGAGAAAAATATAATTATGTAACCTTTGTAAATTCTGTTGTTAAAAAGGCAAAATAATATAAAATTAAGCTGATTTGTGCCCAATATATCCTGAATGGCATTTTTTTTTATTGAAAAAAGGTTGGAATTCAAGGTTCTAGTACTGATGCTACCAAGGAAATTCAATTTTTTTTTGGTTTTAAAATATTTAAAAAACAAAAGTCCAGATAAATTTGCAATTATATTTTAATGCAAAGTGAATTTACAGAAATTATTATTTCAGATATATATAAATCATTAATATTATCAGGTATTTAACGCACAGTTCCAGACTCTACTGCTCATTTGCATGCGCATAGAAATAAATCATAGAAATAAATTATTCCTTTCACAGACGTGTAGAATATACGTATTTTATGCCTTGTAATCACATTATCAACTCAAATATGGAAAAATTTCTCCTCTTCTAATGGTCCAAACAGAATAATAAATCCACATGCAGCAGAGAGCGACAACTCAATTATCGTCTCGATTTGTTCTCCGAAAAAGGCAAACAGAGAAAAGTCTCTTTCTCGAATAAGAGGAAATTATTTACTCATTTCCTGCATAAAAGTGCTGCAGGCAAACTTATTAATTCATAAGCACGCGCCTTCCTTCTTTTATCTGGTCAGCGAATGTAACAAATGATAATAAATATGTGCATAAACAATGCGATGGTCACGATTAGAAACTTTGCAGGGCCAAAAACCATCGATCTGTTTCGCCGGCGTGTGCTTTACTCTCCAGTTCGATGGATGAAAAATTACTCTCTCCGAGCCGCCTATTTGGTTGTCACTTAACACCAATTTATGGCCGGCAGCTTTTGTTTTTTACCTCTCAAAGGTCAGCTTTCAAACTAACTACCTGCAATAGCTTTTCAAACACATATATGCACGCGCTTTTAGCAGGGAAACTCCACCGTTCCGACACGACGGTTTTTTATTTGCGATCATTTTCATAATTGTATAATTCATGCTGGCGCTTCGCAGCTTTCGAAAGAAATTGGGGAAAACGCCCACACCGACAGCACGCTTTTTTGCATTGGACAATAAGTGAAGCCGCTGTGAATTTCTCCAATTCCTAATTTTATGAATGTGAGAATGCGGTCAGTTTTAAATTTAATTAAAGAAGTTAGGAAAATAAAATGAACGGTTATATTAATAATGCACATTGTTATTTAATATGGTAAAATAATTATAATTAAACCTTAATTAAGAGATATTTCTGTTTTTAAATAAATCTGACTAATTTGTAATCAATAAATATTGTAATTTTAAAGTTATTTAAATTAACAAATACGTGCGTTAATAATTATATTGTATTTTTTTAAGTATATAAGAAGCAATAAAAATTAAAAACTTTAAGAATTTCAAGAATTTTTTTCAAAATATAACAATTTTTACCTTAATTATAAAATACACATCACAGTTGAATATTAAAATTTTCATATTTTTTAGGTCATTAATCGCGACTCTCTGTGGCGAGCCTTCTTTGATGCCTTTTTGCTCATGTCGGCGCAAAATAATAAGTACTCATGTAATTAAATTGGGTCGAAATCATTAGCCAACAAGAGCCTAGCGAATTTCGCCACGACGAGCAAAAAACAGCAAAACTTTGGAGGCTGCACGCTTTTGGACGAAATCGCGCTAATTGCCGTGGTTTCCTTAATTAATTAATCCGCAGCACGTCTCTCTATTCTTTCGTGTCCACGGTGTGCGCTCTCTTTGTGCGGCGCATCATCTCTCCGCCGATTTTTCTGTCCCAAAAGTGAAGGTCGCGCGCGCACTTTTTTTGCGAGCGACAACGAGAATTAGAGCACGTGACGCCGAACAAAACGTCGTAAATTTATGTATTGACAACAGGTGTTTTGCTGCCGCGAAATGTTTGAGCAGGTGCAGCCTTTGGTGCCATTTCTTCTGCTTGACAAAACTCGATAGACCATGAGAAATTATTGGAAATTTTGACGGAAAAAATGGGAAGTTCAATCTAAAGAGATAATTTTTTAATTGAAATATCTAGTAATTTGATGCTAATAATAATAATAAAAAAATCTCAAGTAAACCTCAAAATATTAAAAAAAAAAAATTAATGATAAACATTGGAGTATTAAAAAATTAAATTTATAATAATTTTAATTAATAAATTATGTGATTAATTTAAAAAAATAACAAATTTATATTATTTCTAAAACAACTTATGTACATTAACTTTATAAGTTAATTTCTTTTAGCACATTAAATTGCCTATCAGTCAATTTAAAATAAAAAATGATAATAATTTATTAAATTAAATTCACGGAAAATAATTCAGTAACCCTTTTGAATTGCTTTCCCATAAACAATGAATGTATAATTTTATTTCATTGATTGCAGGTCTAGGCAGATCTAGAAAATAACTTAGGACCAATTTTACTATTTTTATAGCCCATTTTCAATTTGAAACGCATCAATTTAAAAATTAGCATCAAAAATAGTTATTTCATCCAACCGGTTTTGTAATGCAGGTCAATGAGAGGTGAAACGGGAACTTTTTCATATAATTAGGCTCCTAATAAAATTGCTGGTACCCTGATACGAAACAACCGTCTAGCGATGATAACCATAAACTGCGAATCGATCGGCGGCTCAATTAACTCTCAGGCCACCACCTTTGGCCCACCGACGTTTAATTTGTTTTAATTTCCAATTACGCCGGCTGCAGGTGCACCTGCACGTGCAAATAAATGCGTACTTATAATTTATGTCGGTGGTGACCTCTCGCTCGCATAACATTGACCTCTCATTCATTACGAGCTGAACCCTCAGAGATCTGCATTTGTTACGGCGGAAAAACGATATAAACGTCGCTCATTAAATCATTTGAACGCTGCTAAATGACTGAGAAAATGAGTACCGGAAAGGTTTCATCATTTAATCGAATGATTGTTGAATTTTAAAATAGTTTTCATTAAATAATGGATAATTTTATAAGCTGATTAATTTTGAGTATTATGAACTTTAATGATGCTGTGAATAAAATAATAAAACATTATTTTATATCAAAATATATTATTAAAATATTAATTTATATTATTGTATTATTTATATTAAAATATTATTTTATTTTACATTAAATTTGTCATAAAAAACTTCGATTATGTAAATATTTTTGAAATTAAATTGTTTAGAATTTAGAATCAAGTTCTATTTTTGCTAGAATTATTATGTCATATGCATCGAGCCTTCAGAGCAAGGAAAAATATAATAAATAATCTTACCGATTTGGCGGTAAATCTGTCTTCTCCTCGGTGCTCAAATTCCAGGAGCTGCACTCCAAGGGTGAAGGGTTGTTCAGAACAAGTAGAGCGATCCCGTCGCCAACTCGACTCTCTCACAGCGACTCAGCTGTTTTCGGCGCCAACCTCAGCTGAAGTTTCGCCCTGAGCGTTGAATTCGACTGAATGTTATGTACCTTGTGAAGCAACTGCCGTCAGCCCATGCCTCAATTTTCTGGGTAATTGTGTTTCTGTGCGCGACGCTCGCGGGCCGAAAATCAATCCTGCAGAGCCACCTAGCGGAATAGTCAAAGACTAGAGGCCTTAAAATTCAAGTTAAAATTGGTTCCAAAATTTGACAAAAACTTTTTAATTAATCATTTTTTTGGCAACAAGTATTTTTTAATAAATCTTCTTTACTTTAAAAATTAGTGCCATAAACATTATTTTTATTTATATTTCATTAAAAATAAAAAAATATTTTTATATTATAGCATAATGTAAATTATTTTAAGGATAATGTTTATGAAATTGACGTTTTACTATCAAATATTTTTTATTTCATGTAATAATAATTATGATATTATTACTCTCACAGAATAATTAAATATAATCGTTTTTTTTTTAAATAAATATTTTGAAATGCATAAATTGAAAAATAATTAAATATTTCTCGGGAGTTTTATCGAAATGAAAATCTGTTTGTATTTATTCACAAAGTTGATGCTATATTCACATAAAACAGTTACAACTAAGCTTTCTTACTTGACTACAATATTGTATAATAGTTCTAAAATACTACCTCAATATGTATGCACTATGCAAATCCATTTCATTGGTGTACAATCAACTGAACATTAAATTCCACGTTCAAAATCAAATTGGCGTTATACAATAAACAAAATATTAAAAAATGACTTGCATTACAAAGTATGGCCATTTTTGTATTTAACATAAATATAAAAAGAGGACGATAAGAAAACGCTGGTCTAACAGGTTTGGTAGAAAAATGCAAAAAATGCAAATCTTGAATTTGAAGATTCGTGTGTGCCGGAAATGAGAAATTTTTGGCTCTACTGGTAACCTCTCTCTTAAGTTTAGATTTTTACTCTTTTGGAACAATACAAATGGGATATATAATAATAATTGCCATAATTATTTTAAATTTTTGTCATTCGATAATATCATCAGCATAGCAGTATTATTCAATTTGTCAACTTGAGTGTCAAAAATATATATACATTCAATATTATATCAAGGGGATAATTTTTTTTTAATTTCTGCATCATCATTTTCTTTTTCATTTGTTTCTCATATAAGTAATCGTCAGCATATATCTCGTCGAAGTCAAGAGATAATTTTTTTAAAGAGTTGTACTATTTTCAAAACTACTCGTTCCATTCATTTATGAATTTAATGCCAGCTTTGTAACTTTCACAAGACGTGTCCCAAGTTATGTTTTGCCCTTAAATACGTTACTGTCTTTTTGAGAAATAATTTAAGCTTTATGTGAAAAGGGAAGATCATTGGAAAAGTTTTAAAATGGATGATGACTGCTATAGGGGGACATCGCAAAACCGCACCGGGTTTTTGAAGGCAGGCAAATATTTTGTTATGATGTATGAATGTGTGTTGTGTGTGTATTTGATAAAGTGGATAAACCTACACAGCTACGAACATTTACGCTGCGAGAGAAGGGGCAGGAGACTGCAGGGACGAGTATCATTGTTTCAATTAATTAATCCACACAATCTGCGGTTCATTCAGGTTATTGGCACTTTATATTATTACATCGTTAAGAGCTACGGAATTTCCACTCAAGTCGCGAAGGGACAGATTTCCATTTTTTTTCAATGCTCTTTTTGCATAATCGTGGGATTTCGAGAAAAATAAATCGGTCGTTTTTCAACTTTTCCTATTTCGTTAATAAATCACCCACACGATTTCAAATTGCTTTTGGTTTCCATAATTATTCTTCTTTAACATTAAATACAATAATTGAATTTTTCATCGTCAACTTGTTCAAAAAAATAATTATCATTTATCTTTCCTCTCAATTAAGTGAGCACTACTTTTGTTTTCATCTTGCAATATCTCATAGGTTAAATAGCAATAAATTTTCTTTCTTTCTCCACGGTTGAATACTTTGTAGGGTGGGGGTTCGTGGGGCATCTATACTTTTGCAGGGGTACATTTTGATGTTGTCATCATCATCGTAATCATCATCAAAAATCAGTTCTGTTGGTAAGGTAGTTGAAATTTACCACATAATTCCTATATCTTAATATAGAGCAATAGAATTTTCGCCGCGCGGCCACGGCGTCTCTCAGCATTTTCTTCAATATATTATTATTCTGGATAAAATGATAATCAACTAATGGTACGCGATAAATTACACACAGACACTTGTCACAAGACACGAAAACTAATCAATTATTAGAGCGAACTATGTACAAGAGTTTTTTCACCTATTTTAATTATATCGTAAGATTGATAATAATTACTCAGTTATAGGCGGAGAAAGGGTTCGTTTCTTTGTGAACTGGGGAATGGAATTGCAATAAATAAATTAGTAGGATAATACATATTATTATATGCAACGACAAAAGCTTTCGCCCTTGGTTCATTCACTCGTCATTTGGTACAATCTAGGCAGACGCACTCGCATATAAGTTAAAAACAAAATACACAGTTCCCTTCTCGTTCTCAGGAAGGTGCAACAAAACAAAACAGGAAACAATTAATTCGTCGAGAGCAGTTGAGCCTAATGGAAAAATTAGCGTTTATTTTGACGTTGGTTCAAAATTGCATAAGTCTTTTCAAGAGTTTTGTTATAATTGAGCGTCCGTTGTTAATTTTTTTTTTTTTTTTGTTAGTTTCCTCTCGTAAAATAGGTGGGGCTGAGATGCTCGATAACTTCCTTTTACAAAAGGAACATTATTATACTGAGATCAGAATTCAACAAATTTGATACCAGCAGACTAGTGCAAAAATAGTTAGTTACATATTATCAAAAAAAAAAAAAAAAAAAAAAAAATGCAGGAGTATGCAACCTCGAGTGTTGATAAAATTTCGTGATGAGAATTGATGAAATTAATTTAAAATGATTTTTTTCTTGTGCTGCTTGAATTTGAACTGAATTTCTCCTTTTGTAATAGGAAAAATTTGTGCAGTGGGGGAAATTTGAAAAAACAAATTGGTGGACGTGTACAACTTTTTTCAAAAGTATACACAGAGTATCCTTGTATAATGATAAGTAGAGCAGCTGTTTTGAATTTAGCCTCTGCTGATATGACATAATCGTGTGTTTGGGGGGATTTGGGGTCTGCAATCAATGTGAAACGAGATCATTCACAATGGACTTTGAGTCTACTGCAGGGTAGAGGTGCGATGATGATTTTAATCGACAGGTTTGGTAACCTGGGTCCACCGTCGTATTGATTAAATTGTTTACTTAAAAAGAAAACAATTATTGTAAAATTAAACTTTGCGTTCATCCAAACTCACTGCACGATTTACTAATAGAGAAAAATGCACATTTGCACCATCATGAGCTGCCATCGAAAGGGCGTTTTCTTAGTAGTTAGACAAAGTAAAAAAGTAGTGGCACCAAATTCTACGCAAGGGAAGCCGCCGTGTCTGTATTTTTGTGTCATTTTTAAAAATCGCTTTTGTATTAAAACGTATTGTACGCACTTTAGTTTTAAAAAAGATTTAAAAAAGAAGAAATTGCTCTTTGTATGTACGTTTTGTCATATGCTCGTATAAAATTACTCCTTTTCTTTGTCACGATCTGTTTGAAAAATAATTTCTTTAGAAATCAATATCTGCTTTTAGAAAGGCCACACTTACTGTCAAAAATAAGATGGCAGGAGAGTACGCATTTTTTTTCTCAATTCACGCTAACCAGGGGCCGGATTGAAGCTAGGGCCGGCGTTCGGCTCGTCTCATCCAACAGCACCGTTTTCCTGATATGGTCCTGTTACCACGCAGGGGTGCATTGGAAAGAGGGTGGTCACAGTGTTGGTGGTGCAGGTCGTCGCCCTTTCGTATTGCGACGAAAGAGACTTGGGCCTATCCAGCAACATCAGCTCTCCGGCGTTGAGGGCCCCTTCGGAATTTCCCCCTCCACTGCTGGGCCCTGGATTAGAGCCGCCGCTGGCCCCGTTCGGGGTGGTGATGCCCAACTTGCGCAGCCGCATTTTTTCCTCCCACTCGTCCCAGCCGTGTCTGGCCCGATTGAGGTTCCTGTGTTGGTAGAAGACCAGGGAAATCCTCGAAGGTCGCAGCCTGTTGGGCCGCCGCAGGGCCGTGGTGCTGTGCAGCTCCTGCTTGGCACACTCGAACAACACCGAGCCGTGGCCCAGGGCTATCGCCACCCCACCCATCTGCGAGTCCTTGAAGCACTCCTCGTTGTCACAGATTTCAGTGACCTTCCCAATTGGCTCTGACCTTGGCATGGGTGGCTCGGCGTGCATCGGAAAGAAGGGGTGGTGGGGCGGAGCGTAGAATGGGTAGCCCTGTTGGTACATGAAAGGCGCGGACCCCATGAGTTGTTGGGGGTGGCAGTAGTAGCTGGGCTCGTTCCAGCCAAGGTTGCACCCGGACATGAACGAGTTTCCGTAGCTGTAGTTGTTGAGGGCGGCAAAAGGGTTGGCAGTGCTGGGTCCTGCTCCGTAACCAGAGGGATAACTTTGGTTGTTGTGGGCCTCGGGCCACGCCGAGTGCCCTGGCTCGGACTTCCCAGGCCAATCATCTCCTGCGGCCGGCCAGCTGGAGGTGGATGATCCGCTTTTGGTCTCACTCGGAGGAAAGGGTTTCAAGAAGCCTTTGCAGTATGAGGGGCCGGTGGGGGTTGACTCGGTGGAGGCGGCTGAAGTATTGCTGTGCGTCCGAGACGGAGGTCTTGCTTTCGGCACCCTGAAGGGCGACGCTGGCGTTTGAGGTGTGCTCGGAGGGGACGAGTAGTCCCATGAGGTGCTAGGTGGTCTTTGACTCTGGGCCCTCTCTCCTTTGAGACAACTGTTGTCACTGGGTGGTGGGTTGTTTGGCGCGGCAAAAGTTGGGGTAGGAGGCGTCGAGGGTGGAGCGTAGGCGGATCTAGCCGCAGTGTCCTCCTCCAAAGGCGTAGGAGGATTTTTCTTTGGCGTGTTTTCATTCTGCCAAGAAATGCTTGGGCCAGGGGTTGTTGGGGTGGTAGGGGCGGACTGCGTTTGCTGGTAGACCTGTTGTTGCTGCTGCTGCTGCCAAGAGGGTGGAAAAACAAAGGGACTCGCACTGGCGGCCGACTGAGGAGTCGAAGGACAGGACGAAGGGTTGCTCGGGCTGTACTGGGCGGCGTAGCGCATCAGTCCGGTGGTGCTGTCGGCGTCCACCTTCATCTCGCTGAGGGGGTCGCCCCACCAGTTGGGATTCTTGCAGTCGCCGTTCCAACCACGGCTCCAGTAGGCGTCGTGGTAGCCCTCCTGCCCCCAGCCTTGGTACATGGACACCGGGCTGTCGAGCACAGTCGAGGACACCTGAGGATTTTGAAGTTGAGCGGCGTCCATGCTGTCCAACAGACCTACGTCAATGTGCACCCCTGAGCCTCTGGGACCCTCTTTGTGGAGCTTGCCAATCACCGCATCTGGCTCGTCCTCCTTCCTCTTTTTGCCGTGCCTTCTACATGGCTGCAACGGGACTGACCTCACTCGAACCTCACAGGTAAACCTGGAAATCAAATTTTGTTATATTTAAAAAGGAAATAATGCTAAATTTTAAAACTGATCTTGTATAATACCTTACAATAAAAAAAATTGATTTGTCTATATATTCTAGGATAATGTAAAATTGAACAAGAAATTGGAAAATTGATTATGCCATTTGTTTCAATTTTTAAATGTTTAAAATTTGTAGGTAAACCAAAACTTACTTGGTCAAATTCTCGATGGCACCAGATTTGACCTTTTCCTGTTGGGCTTCTTTGCTGCCAAACTCGTCAGTCTCATCCATCACATAAAGAGGCAAGACATGCAACTGCTCATCATCTGGCTTGCTCAAACTCCTGTGCCTATTTAAACTAACCACCTTCAAACAAAAGATAAAATTAATATTTTTTCTCTTTACTAAATTGATTTATCAAACTAACCACTGTGCAGCCGTTGTTCATGTTGTGCAGATCTCGATGACTGTGGGCACAGAAATCAAGGCAGGCAGTGACTCCAGAGAATGGACGACCAGGTTTAAAGCCCAGTCTGCACTCAGAGGCGTCTCTTTCAAATTGCGTTTGATTGGCAAAAGCTTCAGGTGCAATGGTTTTGTACAAAGGCGCAATCAAGGTGGACAAAACGTGCATCCTCTCTTCAATTTCTTGCTCCTGAGATGTGCAATTCGTTAATAAAATTTTCAGTTTTATAATTTGAAACAGTTTACCTCTGTTCTCACTGAGAGTCTGAATTTTCTCACAGTTTTTGAGCGCGCGTATTTGCAACCGTTGTAGTACATGCTCCACGAGCAGCCAAAGGAGAAAGAGGCACCACAAGTGTCAGGGTCAAGACCTTGGCAGGCACATGTTCTGGGCTCGTTTGTGGCACATCGTCTTGTGGTTGGAAGTCCAAAGCGATTGAGTTTTTCCACAAGAAGGTTGTACAGTCGGCCAGCCTCGTTCGAGGGGACGCCATCCCACGCCACTATGCAGATAACAATCCAAGCAGTTGGACACTTGTGGCCCTGCCTGTGCTTGACAACTGCTAAGACTTTTTCTTCTAGACTACTTCTCCTAATCACCTGCAAGGATAATATAAAAAATTAATGTTGTTACAAATTATTATTGTCAAATGAAAAATAAAAAAAATAAATTATTTCTTGAGGTACTTACCCACTTAGCTAGAGGACATCCTTGTTGAGTTTTGCCCTCTTTGCCAGTGTAGCAAACCTTCTCTATTCTTAACTCTTTGCCTTCGATGCCGATTCTTGTCTCCATATCTTTCCTCAAGTCTGCTAGGCTGGCTGCCGTTCCCAAATGAGTATAAAATGAACCAGGCTCTGGTGGACTTGCTGTAATAAAAGGTACTATTCAAAAAAACTATAAAAGATAAAATTTCTAGTTTACATTTGTCAGGCGGGAAGCAACTGCAGTCAGGAACCTCTGCCTTGATGTTGTTTTTTAGTCTCTCCATGTGTTCTTGGTATTCTTTGGACGAGATGCTGGTCTTATAATCTTCTGGAGGCGGCTGGGGCACTGGCGGAGGCGTTGGTGACCACCTCCTGTTCCTCTCGGCCGCCTTCTGCTGGTCCAGGTAAGCGGCAACGTCCATCCGCTCCTTTTTCACCTCCTTCTGCTCCTCGACAGGAATTTGTTCTTGGCTATTTTCGCTGAAGGCGTATGCGCTACTCTCCTGCTTAATTGTGACATTTTGATCTTTGCCGTAGAATTCTGAAAATTGCAATTGCGGTGCGGCAGCTTCAATCGGCTTCTCGGAGGTTTTTTCCGCCGGTGGCTTCTTGAAGTTGCGCTGCTCATCATCACTCCAACTCTGTTTCTGTCTGTTCGAGATGAAGTCCTTCACGTCGTTCGGCAGCTCCTGGCCGAAATGCTGCATGCGTGCTCCCTCTGCCCAATCCCAAAACTGACCACCCTCAGACAGTGAAGTCTGAGGGTGGCCTTGGACTAAAAAATTAGGCCCTGTTTCTGGAGGTGGTTGGCCGTTTTCCCGGCCGAAGTTTTCCATGCTGTACTGGTGGTGGTAGTGCTGCTGCTGGTTGAAGTAGTGCTTCTTCATTTTGCTCTCCTCTTCAGCACTGCCATTCTGATACATGGGCCTACTCTGCGTCCCTCCTCTGTCCGAAGGTGGAGGAGGGGTTCGTTCCGGCTGCTGGGACTCTCTGCTGGCCCAACTGCTGCTGTTCCTATTCTGCTCACTGCTAGGTGTCGAAGAAGTGCCGCCTCGGGACCAGTTGTTGTTGGTCTGCTGTTGTTGGCGAGGCTGCTGTTCCCCAGGTACCGAGTTGTTGGAGCCTGAGTATCCACTAGAGTTCTGTGAACTCAGCTGGGGAAGGTGAAGTGGATACCCAGGATGCTCGTTTGGGTGACCGGTCGGCGCGTTTTGGGTGGTGGCTGAGAAGGTGTTATTGTTGCCCGGACCATTGGCCTTGGTGGCCTGCTGGCCTTCTTCGTACACGCTGCCGGCGCTGCTGTTCCTGCCCGGAGGGGCAGGAGAAGCGCTGGGAGCTCCCTCTTGCTGGTAGGCGGAGCCGTTGACGTAGGGTCCGCTGCCAGCACTGCTTGGGGAGCCTTCCAGGTACTGGCCGTTGTTCAACTGCCGGCCGTTGATGCCGCCATTAACCGTGGGGTTGTTGGGCGACGGTTGGGGTGTGTGGGTTTGCTGGGGAAAACGGGCTGGGGAGCTGGGGGGCCGCGGCGCAAACTGCTGCTGTTGTTGCTGTTGCTGCTGCACTCCGTAGCCAGTTCTCTGATCCTGCGGGTATTCGAAGGGTGGTGCGTAGCCTCCAGGCTGGTAGCCCTGGTAGAGTCCGGGCTGCTGGAATTCCATGTGCGGCTGCATTTGAGGGGTGGGCTGGAAGTGCGGGGAGCCCCAACCAGGGGCACTTTCGGCCCCGGGCTGTTGCTGTGGCCACATTGGAGTGGGGAAGCGATCTCTGCCAGGAAGGAATCCTGGGTCGGCGGGAGGGTTGCCGTAAAAGGTTGGCATCACACCAGGCACCTGCAGAGCAAAAGAAAATTAGCAATTTATAAAAGGCTTTTTTCAATTTTATTTTTAACAATTTTCGAAAAAAATAAAAAAACGTGTTGGTCAGCCAAGTTTTCAAGGGAAATAATTTACATCAATTCTTATTTTTAAATAAGCGCTTTTAAAAATTTGGGATTTGTTCAAGTAAGGACAAAAGAAGCGGCAGAACTAATCTTTGTGGACATGTGCCGCTTTTCGCAGGATCAATTTGGCAGATGTGATTTCTCGAGAAGCAACGAGTTGTATAAAAGAGTAGAGATCATGTCTCGAAAGTCTCTATCTAAATCAATGAGCACGGATTTTGTGAGAAGACAGGGAGAGGCGCGTGGCTCTGCACCAGCAGCAGATACCATCTCAGAAAAAGTTAATGTGCGGCACCCATTCTTCTCCATTAATCTCCACCGGCGGCGGAGGCAAGTCAGCTGTGCGAGTGAAAAAGAAAGAAAGAGAAAAAGAGAAGCGCCGAATGTGCTTTTGGTTTTTTCTCTCGTCGCACTAAAGAGAGAGTAAAAGTAAGTGGTGCTAGTGGAGGCGCAAAGAGAGCACCAGCAAAACGATCATTCAAAGACTTCCTCAAGTTGGGACGAGTTGGGTGTGTAGCGTGTGGAATAAGGAAGGGGGATTCCCTCGAGTGACAGCAGCAGGGTTAGACGGCATGGCGTGTACCCAACTAAAGTGAAACGATCCCAGCGCAAAGGCAGGGGAGCCGGGGCGCATCCTCTTTGACTGCTTCTTTTAGTGGTGCTGCTCTGTAGTAGAAGCGCGAGGGTTATATGTGCTGGTGGTATATTCTCTGTGGGTATAAAACGGTGGGTGTAGCAGACACCAAGGGGGAAAAGAGCGCGCCGTCGAGCACCGCTTTATATACAGCACACATATTTACAGCAGCCAGCGGCGTGTGGTATGACGATGATGATGATGTTTTGCAACAAAAGCAGAGGAGGCAGCCGCCAACGTGAGGGTGTGAAAGTGAGAACGATTTGTTCTCTCTCTGTGGCACATTTACACATCCCTTGTGCTCTGTCATTTTACACACGCCAGCCAGCCAGACTGCGGGAGGGCGTGTGGATTTATTTATAAATATGTATGTACGTGTGTTTGGCGGCGTGGTGCTCTCTCTGTGGCGGGGCACTGACCCGACACACACTGCATGTAGGTGTACCGACTAAGCACGTGGTGCTCAATGTTATTGTTTGGGTTATTATCGCGCGCGCCGAGGGTGCATGACTGAACGAGAGCGGCGCGCGTTTTGCGGCTATTTATTAACCCGGAAGAGCTGGCAAATCGCTTGGGGTTAAATTGAGCCTGCACTTTTGCACGATTTATTTCAGGGAGAAAAATTATACCCACTTTAAAATTATAAAGAAATGTTTCTTTTTCCAGCATTTACATAAGTAGGTTTTTTTCAGTACAAGTTTAACGGATATTATCCGTCGGCTTATAATATGGATTTTTTTTTAAATATAAAATTATATTTAACAGCTAGCATTTTAAATTGAAGGTTACTTATTGTTTATCATTTAAATATTTCAAGCAAATAATTTGAAAAAATAGGAACTGTTATAAAAAAAACCTAATAAAAATTACGGGCAGGGCAATGAGCTACATAAAGAAGAAGACATAAAAAACATAAAAAGTACTAGAAATTATCAGATTTTGAAATATTTTTCCCCTCTGAATTATAATTAACCCAAAAACCTAAAGTTTAATTTCCATCCCTTTTCCAATTGACAGAGTGTGAAAAATCGCACAGGGCCCTCGAATCAAGTGGTTTTCAGCGAGGGACGGGGCGGTTCGCGTTCACACAGAGTGTGCTCCAGCGCCCGCACTCACACATAGCGAGCGCCCTAGGAAATCAATGCCCTCTCAACCTCAAGACAAGATGGACGCCCCTTACATGATGTTTCACTCACTGGCCCGGCAATATTTTCGCCTGCCACTATTTTTTGGCAAACATATAGGGGGAATTTTTTACGAGAACAAGCTGCTTTTATGTGCGTTTTGTTTGAAAAGATGCGGCATTTTATGTACACACTCTTTGTAATATCATATTTTTTTTTTGCAGACATCAAACTTCCATTATCGCGCTCGTAGAATGAATTTTCGCGCACGACACAAAACCTGGCCAGTGTGGAAAAACTTTGGCCATTAATATCTGCTCTCGACTCGCCAAGATGCGAGCAAAGGAAAGGAAAAAGTTCCTCTGAGGGAGATAAGGAAAAGGGCAAAAAAGGAAGAAGGAAAAACACGGCAAAGTTTTCTTATCAGCAGAAAAATGATTTTAATGCAAATATGACCGCGAGCATGACGAGAAAAGTTTGCGAGGAACTAATAGAACGGAAAATTTACACCAGGAAATTCCAAGAATTCGGCCCCGACCGGCGTGCGCGGAAAATATTATGGGAGCAAAAACGGCCGCTCGCAATTGCACCAGCAGCGGCAGCTAGGGCTGAATGCGAGTTGATAATGAATTCAAGATGGCGACTATTGTCATTTTCGCGAGTTGGCCTGGGTATATTCGATGGTGTACAGACTGCCGCTCCGAAAGGAGTGGTTGGTACATAGAGAGAGAGAGAATATATAGTATTAGCAGAGAGAGCAGGCGATGCAGAGGAGCTCCGGAGCAGCTAGCGGGGAAATGATAAAAGCAGCCACCAACCAACCAAGCGAGCAACACCAGTAATGAGCCGCTTGCTCGAGAAAGATGTTGCCAAAATTGCCCCCGAAAAGTGCGTGCTCAGACTCACAATAGTTAATTGCGGCACACAACGAACCGTCGCTTCGGCAAATTGATGAGAAAACACTTGAGCTCGCCGCCGGAAATTTATATTAAAGTAAAGAAACTTTGCCGCAGAGGGTGCACCGCAATTTGGCCAGAATTGGCAGAGTTGACTTCAAATCACTTAAATAAAAAGAATCATTGGTGAGATCGTCTGTTTCAAAACAACGAAAAATCTATTTTTGAATTAATTTCCTATCCGTTATTTCATTACAGAACTTCCTGCCTTACAAAAAAGAGATTTTTGGAGTATTTATGGATGTGCGAGGTGAGAAATTCTTGATGATTTTCCGCACCAAATTCGCGAGCAGGGGTTGGAAAATTAATTTTCGCTGCTCGTCCGCGGCCCTTTCTGCGTCTCTCGACAGACGAATGAGGGCTGCTGTGTGTTGAGCTTTGGCGTCCAATCGATATCTTTTAATTTGTTACGGCATAGAAATTTCCCATCAATTTCCTGGCAGCAGCACCGACTTGGTCGGCTGCTGCTGGGCTGCCAGCTTTTAATCAAGCTTTTTCAATTACTGCCGACACTGGCAGGCGCAAGCCAAGTGCTCTCCTCTTGTAATTGCTGAATTTTCTGCGCTTGTTTCCCTTGGCTTGGCACGCAAATTTTAAGAAAGTCGGAAAAAAATGAAGCGTCCAAACAGGGAGTACAGCATGTACCAAAAAACCGCTGCGAGTCGCGGCGGCGGCGGCAGCGGGCGGCTTCAAGTACATAAGGGAGGTTTTGGGGTGGTTTGAGCAAGGGGAGGAGGTTTTGTAATACCACCGAAAGGGGTGGGGGGCATTCCACCCTTAAACAGAGAGCGGCAGCATCTACAATCGATGTCTCTTGGCTGCTGCCGAAATGACGTCACCGAGGAGAAGCGGAGAATTTTCGCTGCCTGCAAATCCTATTAACCGCGGGAGAAAGTGTGCGAAAATCGGCCGAGGAATTATATTCCGAGGATGAATGAATGAATGGAAGAATGCGAAAAAAGAAGAAGGCGGAAGACAAGTGGCCTCTCCGCACCATTAGTGTACACCGCCACGTACCGAACAAGAAGAAGAGCGAGCAGAGCTCTCTCGCTCCGGCGGAGAGAAAGAGTTCTTTGAGGAAGAAGGCGATGAGATCTTTTACTGCTTTAGTAGCTGCTGCTCTCTCTCTCTCTCTCTCTCTCTTTCTTATGCTACACGTACTTTTTTATATAAATGTACGTACACACAAAGAGCAGCGAGAGGAGGAAGCGAGTAGGCGAAAGAGCGTCGTCTTCTTGACCTTTACAACTTGTTACAGGTGAAGGTTAGCGATTGGCTATAAACGGCCACACAAAACTGGACGATATTGTATTTGGAGGTCGGTAAAACGATCGTGCTACTATACAGGGTGGCGGAATTGTCGATCCATAGAGGGAACAAAACAAATGCGTGTGAACTTGACCCAAAAGCGTAGACATTGACAATGGGCTAAATAAAAAATGCATTACATTTGTATTTATCAAAGAATACGAAAATTGTATTTTTAATCTCGGACAAGGCTAATTTGTTTTAATATTTCACTGCTGCGGAATCTAATCAGCAAATGAAGCGATACAAATTAATTAAATTCGGGTAAGCGCCCAAAAGCAAAAAAATAGCCTTACTGAATACCGAGAGCGCGCTCGTAAACTTTTCCGCAAACTGCAGCGGTCTGGATGGCGAATTGGGTTCGTGGGCGCTCTGTGTGTGTATACGAAAGCAATATGCCCAACTCTGGGCTAACTGCCGGGCAATTTGGCAGCGTGTTTGGTTTGTCGGATGGGATTCGATCTCGGTCTGGCCGCCGTAATAATGTATGAAAAGCAAATTGTAAAACGGAGGGAGGGAAAGGTAAACAGAAAGTAGATTACGTGCGCGCCGAGGAGCCGAGGGGTGCGGCGGCGGGCGAGAGGGCGGGCGGGGGCACCTACATGCACCGCACATACATGTATGTACTCTTGTACACACACACACACACTCGCACAGCCTGAAGGCGGTCAATATTCTGGGCCTCGCGGTGAGAGAGGGCAGGACAGCCGAAAAGGAGCCCTAGCTAGAGCTGTCGCCGCGGAGATGGAAAATCTCAACGCGTTCGTCAACCGATTGCGTACGGTGCCTGTCCGGGGACGAGTTGAGCGGGCGAGACGGGCAATTTGCCGAGATTGGATTTTTGCGCCTAACGAGATGATGCAAAATGTAGTACGGGCTGCCAGCACTTCTTTCCCCACTGCTCAAAATATGCTTCTGAATTCTCAACCGAATCTCATCTTCCGCGGGGAAAGAAAATAGCACAAGTGCAAAAAATTCTGGAAAGAATTGCAAATAAGTTTGGTAAAGTGTGTCGGCTTTTCAAGCAAAACCTGAATTTTAAACCTAAGCAAATAAAAATTAAAAACTGTGTACGTGTTGGTTGCCAAATATTGTCTCTATCACAATATTATCCTTTTGAGTTTCCTCATTTAACACGATTTTTTCCCTCTACCCCCTGCAGTTTTAAATGCTGATTGCTTTGCTCAAAAACATTAAATTTTGGGAATTCTGCCTTTTTTAAGCAAAACATTATTTCCATTCCTCTCCATTTTTATCTTTGTGAACGCGTCTGATTAAAATTAATTAAATGAACCGGCAGCCTAGGCGGTGAAAACAGGAAAACATCATTAATGAAGGCAGCAAATAAAGGAGCACAATTAAAAAAAGAAGCGACTTGGGTTTGCTTGCTCCCGCTCCCGTGCGCTTTTTGGCATTATGGCGAGAGGAGTTGGTCGAAATTTAATTAAATTTGTACACACGCATTCATTCCGGAGCGGCGGCTCGTAAAAAACAGCCGCCAGTCTCGCTGCGCTCGGATATAATAAAACAGAAATTTAATATTAAAAAATATGTCAATAACTCGCTTAGAAATTTTTAATTAAAAAAGTTTTGCATCGGGGAGGCGGCGGGCGGGCGGCGGGCGAGTCTCATATTGAGCTCGCTCTCTCTCACACGTCCATCCGAACGTTCATAAAAAAGAGATAGTGCTGTCGATCGATATTCTAGCCATGTACAATACAGTCAAAAGTTTTTTCGCAGCAGCAGTGGCGGCGATGCATCTGCTGGCGTCATTAAAAGCACTGTTCCGCTCGGATATGGATTTCTCTTTCTCTCTGCGTCTGATTAGCACTGGCTCTGATTAAATGCGTGTACTTATTTCCTCCCCCGAGTTTCGGCCGGCTGCACGCTTTTGTCGTCACAATAAATACAAAACCGGGCTGCTTTTGTCGTATCAAATAAATTGGCGACAAAGGCGACGAATAAATAATATTTCTTGCCGCCGCTTTTTGTCCGTGCAAATCAGCATAATAGGAAAGGGTGCCGAGCGAGCCATAGCGAGAGCGAGCGGGCGCGGGGTGTGTTTCATCGATTGCCGCTGCCGCTGGCTGCATCACACTGGTCCAGACATCTGCCACTCTCTGCAGACGGACCGGTTCTGCTCTTTCTCGCTATGCGACCTTATTACATTATACTATTACACACACACAGACAATTATTATTAAAATGCATGCAAAGCCGCCGGCTGCCTTTATTTTAAATATGAGCTGGAAAAAGGAAGCTGCGAGCCGGCTGCCACGTGTGTCACACATTAAACACACGGGTGCAAAAAAGCACTCACAGGAAAAGAGAGACCGTCGCGTTTTAATGTCGCTCTAAAGCATCACTTTTGTAGCTGGTGCTGAGCGGAACTTGTTCGAGTCTTGTGTTTCATAAAAAAACTCCACGATAAAAATAGAAAAAGTAAAGAGCAGATGAGTTGTGAATGTACTTTTTTTCTTTGGAGCAGAATAAAAGTTTTTGAAAATTCATAATGTAGTGTAGAATTCTATAAACTAAAAATTGAAATGAAAAAAATTCAATAAATAATTACATAAATAATATTAAAAAGCATTAATTTGGAAATCATTTATATAAATGTTATCCATATTTAAAGAATTTTTTTTAGTCTGTGAAGCAATTTCCGATCGTCTGCAGCTTTGCGCAAATATTATGGCATGCATAGTTGTATGTCATTAAGTGTTTAGGGGAATTGTCACATAGGGTGGTTTCTCATCCCCCAGCGTGCTTGCTGTACGCCATCAATTAAACAATCAAGGCACCTGCCCAACGACAACTGAACGTGGGGAAACGTTCTCTCGCGGCGTGAAAAGGGCGTGCATGTACAAATAATTGTATTCATCGTCCTCATCAGTAGTCACGAAAACACAAAACGAGAGAGGGCGCAAAATATAATAGTGCACCTCGCAGGGGGAGCCGTTTGGTACAGACCGATATTTGAAGAGGGAAATCTCGAATGCTGCGCTGCAGAGGGGTCAAGAGAAAATGGCACGCGCTCGCCTTCACCCCTTTGACGCGCTCCCTTCGTCCTTGACAGGTGCGGAAATGCACAAGCATGTGTGATAATTTGTGTCTGTAACACTTGGATGGAGTCGGCAGGCAGTTCATATCTCTCTGCGCTGACAACACAAGCTATAGGGTGGGATAGAATTTTGCGGTGAGCCTACCCCAACGCCTAGGCTGACCAACAAGTTGGTATCGCGCTGATCCAAGGGTCAAGCAAACCAAGTAACTCACCATTGGTGGTGCCGTCTGGCCTGGTGGTGCCCCGGAGCCTGCGGTGGGTCCGACACTTGGGCGAGAGCGACTGTCCATCTTGTTTGAAGTTTCTCCTCCCTGAAAACAGAGCGAAATTGTAAAGGTCAAATTTTTCAAAATTTTCACTTTTACTTCAAACATATTGGATAAAATCTCTCAGATTTGTAGGTTTATCATAAATGATGTCAGATATCACATTGATTCGACTACAAAATTTAAATTATTGAAATAATTACTTGTTAAATTAATATTATTTTTTTTACTTAATCAATTGTCCAGATCGGAAACATTTCTTTTTAAAGAAAATAAAAAATTGAGAATTAGTTAGATTTTTTTTAAATAGATTCAAAAGCAGCTTTTTCTTCTGATGGAAACACTGCCGCGAGCAAGTTTTCTTGCACGCTTGGTCGCATCGGGACAACACAAATCGCTTTTGCGAAGCTTACAACATATGCAACCACCCTGCATACAAGTCGTGCCAGTTGCCTACATCCATGCAAGAGCAGCTGCCGGCGAAAAAGGAAGTGAGAAAGAAAGTCGGCGACGGCAAACCGCAAAGCACTGGAAAAGGGCCAGACCACGTGCTTTGCTACAATACCACGTGCCCTTCAAAGAAGAAAGAATTGAAAGGTGTCTTGAGAAAAGTGCATCTCATAATGGGGGAGGCACGCGAGTTGACAAGGGGTCCCACTGACCCTTCTTCCTGTCGTCATCCCCCCAGTCAGTCATTCAGACCGACAGAGTTTCACCTCTCATTGTGGTTTAAAAGTGGGTGGATTAGCGTAGCGAGGGTGTTGCTGTGAATGAAGAAGCAAAACAGCAACAACTGAATGGAGCGAGCGAGGGAGCACCACCCTCCGAGGGGTTGCGACAACAACAACTTGATGATCACTTTGCATTTACAGTTATTTTCAGCAGATATAACCCTAATATCGACACGCAGACAGGCAGGGGGACTGTTTTGTCTGCACAGAGAGGGAACTCCCCACGTTGCACCTAAAAACGGGGTCAAACGCCAGAAAAAGACAGGGGTGCTCCTGCTGCTTGGGGGAGCCGCTTCGGTATATATGAATGAACCGATGTGTCGTTTAATGACTGCCGCCTCAAGATTCCATTACACACGGCCCTGGAACGTCATGTCACAGTCCCCACGGCGACAACAGGTTTCAAAAAAGCGCCTAACCCTCCGAAGTGCGAGGGAGGAGTCGCCCCCTCGCGTAAATCGTTCCTTTTTTTCTGCCACTGAGCTTTTGAATAAATTTTCCCTCTGACGTCAGCCGGGCCAATTTGGTACGTTGACGAAGCAGGAATTATTAATTTTTATACTTGTGTGCCCGTCCGGCCGTAATAATATTTTTGAGTTTCAGCAAAGTGGTGCATGCGGCTGGCGAAATATATGAATGTACAAATGCCGGCTCGAGCCGAGGAAACGAGATTTTAAATATTAAATTTTAATCTTGCGCCAGCATCACGGCGAATTTTATTCAGGACTTGCTTTCGGGGCGCCAAACCAACTAGCTGCAATTCGTCATGCAAACCGTTTCCAATTTAATTTGGCTGCATGTGCAAATCTCTGCAACAAACGTACACACTCAACCGTCGGAAGAGCGGGCAATTTATGCGGTGGAAAAAAGCAGAGCTGAGGATCGTCTTCACTCCTTCCTCCCTTCCGAGAATGCCAATCATGCGCCAAAGGCCATATTTGAATTTAATCTATTTTCGCCGCTGGCAGCAGCCCTCTTTTTCCCGCCGCCGCCGCCGCTATGCAAAGTGCTGGCAATAGAGAACTTTGATCAAGCAAACGCCTGCGGGAATTTAAGACTTTTACGACCCGGGAGCATATTGGATTTCAGTATAGGGCATGGCCCGAGAGCCGCAGCATATTGCATTGTTTCGCACACAAAGTGCGCCTGATTAAAAAGTTTAAATTACGACCGGCGGTGTTATTTGCTGCCAACTTTACGTGAGTCATGAAAGTGTCGAGCGTTTCATTTTGATTTAAAATTAGATGGTGACCCTCACAAAATTAGAAACAATTAAACTTAAAATAAAATTTTGATATTATTGTTTTCTTTCTGAAATTACTGTAAAAACAATCTGGATTTTTTTTCTTTTCCATCAAGAGGAATTTTGATTAAAATATGGTGGGTATTAAAATTTGATAAAAAAAATTTGAACTTACAGTAGCTGCAGAATTGATTCCGGCCATCATGTTGTCATGTGCTGCATTGGCTGAATTTGAACTGGAAGATTGTTGCTGTTGCTGCTGCTGATTGTTGCTAGAAGATCCTCCTCTTCCACCTCTGTTGCGATAACCCTGTTGCCAACAGAAAACACGGCAAATTATTCAGCGGTCGAAAGAACTGTGGTGGGTAGGCGGCGATTTCGCATCGCAATGCATTGTTCTCATTGTATGCGCCCCAAATCGATAATAATGGAGCGATTCGGGTGGAAATTCGCCCATTCTCTGTGCGCGCATTGAAACCCGAGAGCCATTTTCTCCGTGCCCAAACACGCGAATATAATTATTTATATGAAACGGACAACAATGATGAGTGCAGACAGGCGCGAGGAGAAATAAATTCGGGCCCGACGGAACAATATATTTAATAAATAATAAAACATGCACTCTGGGGTCAAAGATAGGCTGCACGGTCAACAAATGCGGCAACGATAAGACAAAGAAAAAGCCAGCGGCGTGGTGATAATGCGTTTCTCTTATCTTGCGACTCGTCGCCGCGTTCTCCGTCGGGCCCTAACGCAATTTCCTGCTTTTCCTCGAGCCAAGCGGCGAAGGTCATATTTCATCCCCGAAAAAAAAAACGAGAAAAATCCCAAGCGGTTTCACACTTGCCTTAATCTTTTCGCCATAAAAATCATTTCTTGGTATGAAAATTTCAGATTTTTTCTGTACTGAGGAGTTTTTTATTTTTATTATTTCCAAAATTAGAAAAGATTTGATAGTCACGTATTAGTTTATAAAAAAAATTATAAAGAGGTGCAGTTTTAAATTTTCTCTTGCGTTTATAAATTATTAATACGCCTTAACCTTGAAAAATGGCAAAAGTTGACAGATCAAAAATTTAGCCGCTTATTAAAATCTCCTTCAGCCTTAAAGTTAATACTCGGCAAACGAATTTCGCGCTCAATTTCAACGTAGCTCGCTGCTCTGCCGCGCGCAACTCCACGCGAAGACCATTTATAATTTTAATTAAGAATTAAATTAGCTAGCTTGTTGGAACATAAAATAAGTCATAAACGAAAGAGAGAGAGCGAGTGTCTGGCAGAGTAAATTAAAGCAGCCGCCGCACACTCTTATGGGGCGGAACGGCACTGCGGGGCTATTCCTGTATAGCAAACAACTTCACCTAGAGCAAAGAAAAAAGAAGTGCGACAAGGGAAAAAATCATGCGTCTGTCTGGCAGGTCGCCCAAGGGCCTTCACTTCTCCCTTGAGGGCCCATCTTTTACCTCGGTAATTGTGCATCAAAATAACTAAATGGAATATAAATAGTGGGCCAATTGAACACCAAAGTTCAAGCAATTCTATGGTAATTGTTTGATTTTAAATTAAATTAAATTTTTTTATGAAAAAAAAACTGGAAGCCAATAATTTTTTAGGAGTTAAAATATTGGCAATTATTAATATTAAATAGTGTAAGTAAGAGTTAAATTATTTCTAAAATAAAATAACAAAAACTCTAATGTTTCATTCACGGAAAACTTTAATGCGCTTTAATGATATTTTAAAATTAAAATTCATAAATATTTGTTCTCTAATTTCTTCTTTTTTTATCCAAAAGTTGAGACGAAAGATTTTTTCATAGCACCTTGACTAGGATTGATACCGCTCATATTTCAATTCACACAGAAATCTTTGCCTGCAACGAACAGCTCTAGGAGCAATTTTTATGCGGCCGCACACACGCCACAAGCCTATTTTACGATGCCATTTCTCCGCGTCAGACCAACTTCAGACGACCATTTATTCAACAAAGCGTTTGATTAATAATCAAGTCAACCTCGTTGCGCCGCAAGAAAGTCTCTATACTGCTTAATTGGAGCGTAATTCCGCGGGCTTGATTGGAATTCCTGTTTTTTTTCCAGGGACTAAGGTTTCTGCTTTTGAGCTTGCAATTGGAAACAAATAACGGCCGGGCAGGCGGATTAACTTACTAAGAGCTGTATTGGAATTCAATTTGTGAGCGGCGAATGAGCTTTTCCAATAATTCTCGGGATGCGCCCGTTGGCCCGCCATCGCCTCCAAATTGACTTTGTAATTAATTCCGCACGGCTCGGCCACAATATAAGTGAGAGAGAGAACGCGCTGCCAATTTCATTACTCGCGCAAGAACAAACGCCGAATTTTACGGAGAGGGGCGGCGCCCGCCGCACGCGAGATTGGGCCCCGAAATTGATGACTATTTAATTTTAATTCGGGCAATTTGCATGCAAATTGGCAAAAAGCGTAAATTTTTACGATTCGCACGCATGCACGCCATTACAACGCGCCATTGTTCGTCGCGCGCCATCAGCCGGCGTAAAAAATAGATAAATGTGTATAAAACGGAGCGGTTATGCGCGGAATTTTTATATTAAAATATTATACCAGCTCTTTCTTTTTTGCATGTGCACACTATATATCTTGAGTGCGATAAAATTTTATGTACGTAAACGGTTCGCTCTTTTTCCTCTCGCGGTGTGAGTGTGTATGAAATATTTGCGCATTGTAATAAAAATGCGCGAGAGAAAGAGCGTAAAAATAGAGTGACATTAAAAATTATGAGTTTGCCTTTCTGAGAGCGAATGGGAGAGACAAATAACGCGGCTTTTGGGATATAGAGCACTTCAGCGATTACAGAGTGATGTGCCAAGATTATGGTTTATTAGGCCTAGGAATTTGATGGAAGTCTGAGAGTTTTATTAAGCAGAGCATTCGGAAAAACTTCAAGAAGCATGCCAAAAAAATATTTCGGATTTTTTTTTTAACTTTAACTATAATTATACATATTTGAATTCTTCAAAAGGTAATGATTTACGTAAAGTATACTATCAATCAATTTATAATAAAAATAACTCGGGCCCTAATTATTATTTTAATAATTTGCATATTCTACTTTTTATAAATAACATTTTGTAGAGAAAAAAATAATTAAAAATCTAAAATTCAAACCTATAAATAAAATTCATGGTGATTTGAAATTTAAGTTGATTTTCCTCGATGGGTTTCTGTGAGTTGATTATTGTTTAAGAAAAACAATGTCCTGCTCTATACATGTTTTGGCTGCGAGCTGCAGCCATAATTCATTAGCTGTGAAATCATTTTGACAAGAAATAGTTTAAGAAGATAATCATTTTTTTTTAAATTAATATTTTCTTTCAAAGTAACCATTTTCCGTGAAAAATTATTCAAAGTTATATTTTTTTACAAAACAATTTTTAACACAAAATTTGACATAGAATTAAATTGTTATTATCCATTTTCGTATCCATTCGTCGCCACTGCTGTCTGCATATTTATTCAGAAAAATCAATCGAAAAAGAATTTAGTCTTCTCTCGACCACCGCCTAGAAAGGTACGCTCAAAACACATGTTTCATTTGACCAAAATTATTATAAAATTTAATTTTTGTAAAAAAAAAAATCTCAAAATTTTGTCTTAAAAATTGTTTGAAATAATTTTTCACGGAAAATGATTGCTTTGAAAGATGATTTAAAAAAAGATTGATTTTTGAACTAATTCTGGTCAAAATGATTTCACAGCTCATGAATTATGGCTGCAGCCACCAGCCGAAACATGTAGAGCAAGATATTGTTTTTCTTAAACAATAAACAACTCAAAAAACCCATTGAGGAAAAGCCGATTTTAAATTCCAATGACCATTAATCAACCCTCGATTGTGAAATTCTACTAGAAAACTAAATGAAATTGTCCAACAAGCTAAATTATCGAACTTTTTCGCTCCAGCTTAAAACAAGAATTGTCGCTCTTTAAATCCGACAACCCTTTTTCTGGACCCATGTCTTTAAATCCAGTCTGTCCAGCATGTGATTCCGCTTTCATCCTTTCTTTATAATTGAATTCAATGCGTGTTATTAAAGTGTCTGGCGCGCGCTGGCCACTCGCCCATTCACGGTGGGGATGCTGCGGTCCAGCGCGTGTCTTCTTCAGTCTTTCTTTCTCTCCAGTCTTCGCGACCTGCACCCCTCGTCCACCTGCAACCAAAGTGGTCCAGACGAGATCCAGTCTGGAGCGGGTCAGGTGCGAAGAGTCAAACTGGTTTGAATCAAATAAAGAAAATTTGAATGCGTATTTTCATCTTGAAGGCCGCATGATGATTTTGAAGGACGCCTTTTGTTGCCAGCTTAGTCTGCTCATCAATTATTCTGCCCGGCAGCAGCCATTATTATTATTATTTATGAATGCAAAAAGCAGGCAAAAATCCCCGCGCACCGAATCATTACGGCCTCATAAATCATCCGCTTTCAGCGCCATTAGCATTCAGGATAAATGCAAATTTCGAGTTTCGTTCAGTCAGACAAGTAAAAAATTAAATTTGACTTTACTGAGTCAAACGAAAATTAGGAATTTTTATTTAATAAATTTTTTAATATCGGAAAATTTTGAAGGCACCCGCGGAAATATTCGATAAATCCCGAGCATTTTATTGACAGAATTTGGTCCTCGTACATCAAGATTAGGCAATTAGGGGAGAAAATCAATAAATTCCCTGTCTGCGATTTATGTTATGTACTTTCAGGGGTAGATCGAGGTGGAGTATGTAGTGCAGGGGAGTAATCTTTCTGCGCAGCACTCTCCAAAGTTCGGGATTAAAAATAATTTATTCCCAGGCCGTCGATGCAAATTATTCGGTGCAATGACTGAATTTGGAATTCAGGGACAATTCAGAGTTTACATTCCAAAGTACAAACGAGAATGCACGGAATTCGAAATAAAAATTGCATGACTTGCAATTGGCCTTATTAAAAGTACTCACCGAACGAGACCGAAAACAGCTTCCTGTGTTTACAAAACGCGAGCTGGGAATGCCTCTGGTTCGCTTCGAGTTCCTCCCACGCGGCGTTGCTGCGTAAAAATATACTCGGGCCAACAACAATGCCGCCTCTGTTGTGACGATGATGAAGATCCGACCTTGAGGCAGGTAAACGAAGAAGAAGACGAATGAGAGGAGAGCAGATCAACTGTGAACCGCTCGCTCGAGGTCGAACCAACAACAAAATTTTCGTCGCTGCTATACAGAGATAATCACTCTGGCGGCCGCGTCGGAAATGTTTGGTCGAATAAATATTATATTTTTTTCCTATCCACGCACAAACACACGCAGTCTATTTTGGGTGTGAATGGCCTGGCGGGCGAGCCGGCAAAACTCAGCTGCCTTGCTTTTCCTCTTCCAACTCAAAGACACGCGTCAGGGTAAAAGTCTTACTTGCTGCGTGACGACAGCCGGCTGGCAGGGCCAAGTGGTCTGCGAATCCGTCCGGCGGAGACAGAAGAATGTGTGTGTGTGAGGCTGGTGCGGAGAACACGGGACCGACAGACCGACCGACCGACAGCGCAAACAGGCAATGTTGTAAAAGCAGCGGCACCAACCAAGGCAGGCAGCGTAGAAGCGGCGGCGTTGGTGGAGAAGAGCAGGCAGGACCCCCAGACTGTGCCTTCGTATATAAAACGCTCGCTCGCCCTCCGCCACTCGCGGCTACCCCAATCCCAACTACCCCCAAAACACATTAAAAACCATAAAAAAGAACGTAAAAAATATACGAATTTATACAACCCCCAAGAGATGTTTTTTATATAAAAAAAGCTAGAAAAAAATTACAAAAAATTTAATTCTAATTTTAATGTTTAAATTTTTTTAAACGTTTATTCTGCAATTTTTCCAAAATTTTAGTAATTTTTTGTGTCTTTTAGGGCGCGAATCGGAGTCTGATGCTGTTTGCCGAAGGAGGGGCCTACCCAACAGACAGGATCAATACCACGCGTTTTACCATAGGGGTTTCTTTCTCCATGTCCGACCCCGCGCGTTCTCCATCTGAGACGGCGCGCCAGCTCACTCAGTACCCCCTACTTTGGTACCCCCTGAAAGTGATGTGTGTGTATGTGCGGTGGTGTGCATGCAACGCCACAGCCGGCGGAGTTTTCCAGCAGCCGAAGCCCTTTAGCCTATTTGCGTTTATTCCGCCCAGGGTAAATTAATTAATGATACACTGAAGGGCTTAACAGGCACCGAATTGCGTTTGGCGGGTCAATGCTCTCGATCCAATTAGTCCGTCGAATCAAAGATTGAAAAACGATTTCATTCTAATTATTTTCCCTCACTGAAATATTCAACCAAAATTGTTATTATATTCCTATAACTCTAATTTTAATTTTCTTTTTCAATTTCCTGAATCTCAGGAACCGATTAAACGTGAGCCCCAAACCCTTTTCTTAAGCAAACACAATCATCGGATGAGATTTATCAATTTTAGCAAAGCAAACATCAGAGCGAAGGGAGAGGAATAAATAATACAGAATTTGAATTTCATTCCTTGCGGGTGCGTATGGCAGAAATTTTTGGCGAATGTTAGTTAGAAAATAAATTGCCCGGCGCCCAGAGCGGCATATAATGTTTGGAGCAGCTGCGATTGCAATTAAGTTGGCTCAGCAGAGTAATTTATTACGGCGAGCGGCAATTAGAAATCTTCATTGATTTTGTGCTGTGTGCCGTCGCCGCTCGAAAGGTCGAGTAAAGGTTAAAATCGCCGCTGAGAAGCAGCCCAGCCAGACGTACGCGTCCTCCTAATACAGCGCACTAACACTAATTATTTGCTCAGGGAATAGTGCTTGATGATGGAGAGCTCAACTCGAGCACGAAATTAGATTTATTGACTAAGGACATCCAATCTGCATGCATCACGTGAGCAAAGTTCTTGTTTGATAATCAAGACTAATTGAACACACAAATCAGCAGTCTGGTGCGCTCTGCATGTTTGAACTGGCGCTTGATTTGTGATTCTTGGCAAAATGCAAACTTGCACTAAATCACGGGAAAATATAAGAATTTTTAATTTCGTGTTTTAATCAGTTTTAATTTTGATTGAAGAAAAATTTTGTATCTTTCATTAGAACAAAAATTATTTAATCGTGCTAAATATTTAAACTAATTTCCTCACATTAACCTGAGAAAAAAAATTGTTTAAAAATGCAACTATAAAAAAATATTGATTTAAATTTTTTTTTTTGTAAATTGTGAATTTTGTTTTATCATCAACCAAGCTCTAAGACACAAATTCAAGAAAACGTTGTTTGTTAAATTAAACGGCATTTCCACAACAATAGCACGCACACCGTAAAGGGCCGCTGACGATGCTGCTCCGTGTTTGAGAAAAATGCGTTTTGCTGCTGCTGGTCCGCCATAGTCCATGCCGTTTCCATGGTGACCACGAAGAGCTTACAAAGAGATGATAGCTCTTGCAAACCTCCAGAATTAAGTGCACGACACGAACACGACCGTGATACGCAATTTAAATGAAACTCTGCTTTGCGTGTAAGACACTAATTGGCTCGCCAATCATTGTTCAGATATCTTTTTGATAATTACCAGGCAAATTGCTGGGGCTGAATAAAAGTGTGTGAATAATGTTGTTAGGCTCGTTGTAAGCAGAAAGAAGTTCACATCGATTTGAAATTCATAATAATTTATTTTTTTTTCGGTCCCTAAATTGTGTTTTAAGTATTCAAATTCTTTTTAATTATTTTAAATCATTTTTTTTACTTAAAACAATATAAAATATTTCATAAAAGCAGTTTGAAATGTTGATTAAAAAAAAGCGCTTCATTATAGAATCCAATTAGAATTTTTTAATTTTAAAGTTGTCAAGTCCAACCTGGCTGCTGGATATTAAACGAGAATTAAATTACCGCGAGGTAAATAAGATATCTCATTTCCAATTAGAGTACATGGCAGCTGCACCACTAGGTTGACACCCAGCTCTCGTCGTCCGCCGCGGTGCTGACAACGTAATTGAATGTGCGCGGCCTGTGTGACATTTGTGCGAAAACGCCACACGTACAATGTTCAACAAACGTCAAATTTAATATGGCTGGCGCGAGAATCGATTTGTCACAAGGACAAAAGTGAGCACTGCTTTGAAATGAATCCCAAAAAATTTAATGATTGAATCAATTTGGTTTAAAGAACGACGGAAAAAAATTATTTTTGTGACAGGGCACGGGAAATGGCTTTCTAGAAAAGGAGATATAAGGAATTTGTACTTACAGCACCACGACCACGTCCGCCCTTGCCGCGTTTGCTCTCGCTTCTGGATTTGGTGAAACCACCAAAGAGCCCCTGGAACATAAAATTTATACATTAGATATAAAAAAAATATCAAAAACAGAATTTAAAATATTTGCTCAATTTTATAAAATAATGAGTTATGTTTTTCAATTATAATTTATATTTTTTAATTTATTTTTTAAATCTCTTGTATTTGAACGTGCAATTTGATCAATTCGCAATTCCACCTCGCACAATCGTCATCTGAATGCACAGTTTAATTTCGCTCTGACAATGGACCGCAAATGAAAGTCCAGCGGACTAGCTCTGTTGGTTAGTTGTACATTATTTGTACTATGGCAACAAGAGCACAAATTTATATGAGTTTCGAGCCCTGCTGCAGTCGGTCATCCCTGCCGCTGATTGAATAGTGGTCATTATTTATGCATATCCCATTAGGGCATTTCTCGTCATCGCTGCCAGCCAGTATTTGGCTGCGCGTCCGGACGCGCGGCTTCATTTTTCGCGCCACGGATGTAAACCGTAATTAATGGCGATTCTGATGGGAGCGATGGGCAATCAACAATTTCCACACGCAGATCTGGGCGCAATTTATTCCGATGAATGATCGGCCTACGCTGTCAAATAATTGTAGATAAATAGCTACGGTGCTTGTAATTGAAAATTAATGTTTCGTATGAATCGAACAAATTTTCATTACTGCTGGCAATGTTCCCTGTGTGATGGGCTTTTATTCCATCGCAAAATAAAATGCTTTACTAGTTAGTAATTCAAAAAAATATTAAAAAAAATGAAGGCATAAAATTACCAGAGCTTTATCCTGATTTTTCCAATTAAAAGCACAATCAAAACGTAGTTATTGAGACACAAATTTGATTTATTGAGTTCGTGACTGGACAATATGTGTGGCAACGACAGCTAGACGTTTTTTTCTCTCTAAATGAAATAGTGCGTCCAGGACGTGAGACACGATAAGCGCATTTCCGTCGTTGATACCCAAAAAAAGTGGTGCGTGTGTCTCCTGGCGCAGGTATATATAAACGATAAAAGTCGCGGATACAAAACATAAAAGCCGGCGTTTGCTGGAAATGTCACGAAACGTCCGCTGCCATCCGAGAGTGCGGCGGTGTCGGGCGGGTAGCAGCACCATCAGGGGCAACGGCGCACACGGCCCTGCGTTTTGCTGCCTTCTGGTAACCGCAGTCGGCACTAAACTCGAATGGCGCCTTCCCGCCGGCACGACCCGAGCAAATGAAAGAGAGAGGGGTTCGGCCGGCATTGTTTGTGCGCAGCAATTTTGACTAATTGTCGAGGTCTCTCTCGGTGCTTGTGAAGAGAGGCAATCAGCCGAAATGCGCCACTTACAATTCGGACAAAAACGACGTCTGCTATTATGTTTTTTGTTTTTTCCGCCACAATCAACCTGCTGTTTAAGCATTTTGATAGGACATGCGAGCAGTTTAGAGTTGATTAAAAAAAAGTAGAGGAAATTGAAAAGTGTATGTATAATCTTACTTTTTATTTAAAGAGTAATAAAAATGGCCGCATATAGTTAGCTGAAAAGCAGCGCCGAAACCAGATCCTTTTGACATGAGTTGTCCAATGGAATATGTATGACGTTGTGGGTCTTCTTTTATCCATATAAGAGACACCCTGTGCAAAAATGATCTGGTTTGAGCTGCAACAATCCGATTCAACGAGAGCTGCAACGTATTCGAGTGCAAAAGTGTGTTTGCAAACAACAAAGCATGTTCTGGAAAGAAACTCGCGTGAAAAACGTTTTTATTTTTGAACAAAAGAGGAGTTTAAGAATTTGTCGTATCTAAAATAAAATAATATTATTCAAGTTATTCTTTTCTTTTTTATTAATAATTTATAAATAAAGTATTTCTTCAAAATCTTTCAATAATTTTTTTTCTTTCAGCCTATTTTGTCTAAATCTCAAAGCAATATTACATTATAATTATGTGAGATTTCTACTTGCATAGATTTTGCTTTAATTAAAATTTTGAAACGGATGATATAATTTTCAATTAGATAGAATTACGTTAATCGGCCGGCGTGTAATAGAATTCCATCAGGAATAATATTCCAGTCGGTCGCAATCAGTCGCAATGAGGCGCAGGCAGTAAATTGCAATTTCGGGGAGTGCGAGATTGGCGGCGTCGAGCGCATGCAAAATAATTCACGCCGGCAATTTGGCACGAGGGGGCGGTCGGGGGAGGGTTCGAGTCGGGGGCTAATCCTCATTAACGCATGCACATCCAGAATTTAACAAGGTTACAATCTACTGGACCGGAATACAGCCTCTCTCGCGCGCGCGGCGGATAATAAGATCAAATCGTGACGTCACGCGAGCACATGAGTCAGGCAACCAGCACAACACACTCTGGCACAGCATCGCCGGTTGCCATGGAGACAAATTCAGTTTCCCTCTGACACACGCATAAATTCCCTCAACACTAGTACGTGCACGTCTCTAGCCTCTCCGCCTAGATGATATTAGATTGCATTTTTGGATGCTCTGATGCATAATAGCGCGAGAGCCGAGTCAGCGAATTTAACCTCCCGGCAGAGAGGAGCAAACTTTCAATTTTCGCCAATTTCCCGGCCGCAGCGGCTGCACGCATGAGGGAAGCGTCGCGAGTGGAAACAATTTGCTGCATGCAAATCGGCCTGTCGCTGGAAAACCACTTTGCCGGAAAATCTTAAAGACCAACTTGTGCTGCTGCAGCCAATCTGCTAATTTCGCGGCCGTTCTTCGTGTGCACGAGTTTCCAAGTGCGTGTTTCTGCTTCAAAAGATTTCTCTGGGGTTGGATTCTTGTCTGGTCTTTGAGAGGTGCGAGTGCGAAACCGTTTCGGCCTGATTGAGCGTGTGAGGACGCAGTCATTCGGTTTGCTTCGGGAATTTTTCAGCCTCACTTGATGGTATGGGCTTTGAATCAGAAATAAATGAATCTCTTTTTACAATCTGTGTCAGAACTTGAAAGATCATAGATTTTTTATTACAATATTTTCTAAAGAAATCTTCAAATTCTTTTAAAAAATGAATAATTTTTTTTTTAATTTACTTATATTTCTCAGCAGTTGTTCAGTTTGATCAATGATAATTTATAAAAATGTTTTATTTATATCGTTAAATGTTAAAAGTATTATAATTATGATCAAACCATTTTTCCCTGCTTTAAGAAAAAATGTTTTAAGTCAACAACTTTTGTGATCTGAAAAAACTCATATAGTTAATTAAAATAAAATTAAATCAGATTTCCCAGTTTATTAAAAAATTGGCGTTTCACAATCCCAAGAGATGCGCATTGAAAACTGCATTCACGCCGCAGCACCTCCATCCTCCGGACAAAACCTCCTTCCAATTTCCATTTTAATCCGACTCTCGCCACTGCACCAATAAAAATGCAAAGTTAAGCGGGAGTGAGTTTGTGCTCTGGTGCTGATTATACAAAAAATTCTCCGACCACAGTTATATATTTCATCGATTTTCCAGTTAGCAGCGAGGAGGCTGCGTTTTTTTCCGCGCCTCTCGAAAATATAAATTTTTCCTTTGGTCGAGAAGAGAGCGAGAGTGCAGAGGAAAGTTTGCCACAGCAGCTTTAGTCGGAGCGCACAAATGTTACGGTTATTATTCCCATCAACAAGCGGGCGCCGCTATACATGCAGAATAAGAATGGTGCACTTTATAATTATAATTAGAGTCGAGAGCGAAAATGTTCTGGTAATGAGGAGTAGTTCCAGCAGCCCCTGGCGTTTCCTCCCCAGCCAGAACATCATGATTATAAAAAAGCCAAAACGCGCTCCGGCAGCATGATATTACACCAAATTAAACATAATTTTTCCCTCGTGCCAGTGCGGCGGACCCCTTTTGTGCAGTTGAATTTGGGCCGTGCAGAAAATATTGCCAATTTCACATGCGTGCTGATGATAATTTCATACACACACGGCAAAGGGTGCGAATGCGAGAAGAAAATAAGAAACGAGAGCCCCTAGCTCCTGGCTGGCTTTTTCATCTCGTACCTTACATCATAATCACCCCCGACCGACCGACCCCGCTACCTCCCCCACAAAATTAGAGGAGCGCGTGCCAAACTTTCTGACGTCACGGATTCGGGAGCTCACACTTGGCGGCCATTGTTTCGAGCTCTCTCTGAATAACACACAAATCAGCCCGCCGCATTGATGGAAAATCAAGTTGGGCCTTTTGTCAGAGAAGAGGGAGAAAAATCGGCCGATTGCCGCAATTCCAAATATTGATCCCACGCTGCTGATTGGCACAAGAACTATAAGCGAAAAAAATTCCACTCAAATTTATGCGGATTGAAAAAAAACTAACAGAGTGCTTTGGCCGTTGAATTCAATTGCTGCGGAGCGGCGTTTAAAAAATTGTACTTCTCTATTAGGTATTGAAATGATTGACGAGGTAATGGAATAAATGGACGCATGCAGCTGCTGTTGGCGGCTGCTTTCTGGTGGTCCCGATGCAAAATGGATTAGTTGCATGACTGCTAATACATTGAGACTAATAATGCACAAAAACCATTAGCAGGCCCACGTATATGTATAGAAGCGAACAGTGCGATTCAGGTGAAATTATATTAATGTTCCTTCAGAATTCGTTACGCCTTCGGCCAAATTTATAGCCTTGCATGCAACGGCGCTGAAGCTTTAGCAGGGGTAGAAAGTGAGATCTCGTGTTGGATTGCCGTTTTTTCCAAACAAAAATTATTTGAGAATTAAGTCATTAAAGGCCTTAAACACATGAGCTAGATTCATTTTAAAACCTTTTTTAATATTTTATTTTTAAATTGCTTCTTTAAAATAAGGAAATAAATAAAATTTATTTTCACTCTAGATGACCCATTCATTATCTGCATGCAAATAACAATTTTGGTTTTTGTGTGTGGCAGTTGTGCGATCCGGCGAGTGGGAAGAGAGTTAATTGGTTTTTTGCTTGTTCCGCTCATTCCGTCAATTTCATCGCCGACGATCGAAAAAGCAGGCAAATCAACGGGCGAGCTATTTCTCGCCGCTGCAATT